AAAAATACTAGAACGCATTATGTATAACAAATTATATACATATTTAGAAAAAAATAATATTCTATATAACAAACAATTTGGCTTCAAAACAGGACACTCTACTGATCATGCAATTCTTCATCTTGTTCAGATTATTTTTCAAGCTTTTGATAAAAACAAGTTCACTTTAGGTGTTTTCATAGATCTAAGTAAGGCGTTCGACACAGTTGATCATAGTATTTTAATTAAAAAATTAGAGAACTACGGTATCAAAAATATTAACATAGCTTGGTTTAAAAGCTACTTATCTAATAGAAAACAGTATATTTCATTCGGCAATAAAAAAACTAACAATATGACAATTACTTGCGGCGTTCCTCAAGGATCTATATTAGGACCACTCTTATTTTTAATTTATATTAATGATTTAAGCAAAGCCTCTAATATTCTAGATTCTATCTTATTTGCTGATGACACAAATTTATTTTATTCTCATAGTGATATAACAGCATTATTTAAAACGGTAAACATTGAACTCCTAAAACTAACCGAATGTTTAAATATGAACAAACTTTCAATTAATTTAACTAAAACTAAATATACTATTTTTCATCGCCTCCATAAAAAAGAAAAAATTCCTCTTGAACTTCCAAAACTTATTATTGGAGATTACATCGTAAAAAGAGAATGTTCGATGAAATTTTTAGGTGTAATTCTAGATGAAAGCATAAATTGGAAAGACCACATAAACATGATTGAAAATAAAATTTCTAAAAATATTGGATTACTCTATAAAGCAAAACCATTCTTAGATCAATCCTGCTTGAAATACATATATTACTCATTTATACATTCTTATCTTAATTATGCAAACATTGCTTGGTGTAGCACCAATAAAACAAAGATAAAAAAGCTATTTAGCAAACAAAAACATGCAATTAGATTATTATCAAATGCACACCGCCTCTCACATTCAAGACCATTGTTTTACAATCTAAAAATACTAAATGTGTACCAAATAAATATATATCATCTTCTGATTTTTATGTATAAAATTAATAACAATTCAATACCAAAAATCTTCAAACCATTATTTAATAAAATTCAACACAAATACGTAACTAAATATTCTAACAACAACTTTGTTCAACCCAAAACTATATACGACTCCACCAAGTTTGCAATAACTGTTAGAGGACCTAATGCATGGAATAAGATAATCAGTAATGATATTAAAACACTTAAAACTCTTGATCAGTTTAAACAAAAACTAAAACTATTACTTTTAAATAATGAACAAACAGATAATTATTTTTAAATCTATCTATAAAAATATTATATATTAAAACTATCTACTAATGCATACTTTATTTGTCTGGAAGGTCTAAATTCTTTAATTTTATATAGGTATTACAGTCTGTTATATTATAAAAATTGTACTTATAAAGCCTTTTAGCATTTTTAGATTTCATTAGTTTAAATAAATTTATTAGTTTTCTTAAATAAGAGAGAGAGAGGAAAAATAAAAAAAGTAATCTTTTTTGAGTTTTAATTTTTTATAATAATATTTTGTAATTTGTTTTTGAGGAATTAATATATTACACTTTATAAGAACAGATTGTAAATTAAATTTTACGTTTACTTTTTTCATGTTTTTTTGTTTTTTGATATTTTTGTTTTTCTGAATGAACTTTTAAATTTTTCTTTCAAAAAATAAAATCGAAAAAATATCTTTCAAAACTTTGAACTATTAAACTATTTGGCATTTTATATAAACTTCTTTGTAATTTTTTGCTTTTTTCTTAATTTTTTAATTTTCATTTTAGTTACCATGTATTTATATAAATGTCTAGACAAACAAGGGACTTGGTGATAAGACAACCCCGTCTTCTTCTCGTCCTTGCCATTTTTAAATATTTTAAATTACGGAACTTGTAAATATTTGTACGGCTAAATTATAAAAAAAAAAAAAAAAAAAAAAAAGATATGACGCATTGGAATTTGCCATGATATGCGATAGATTTGGCATTTCTGATAAAGTGGCTTCTGCTTTAGCAACAGCATTTTTCAAAGACCTTAATATAAGAGATACAGACGGTAATCTTATGATTATGGATAAATCGAAAGTTGCTAGAGAAAAACAGAAATGTAGAGATATGGTGATTTGTAAGCGAAATGTTGGTTCTTCTATATTATCATTTTCATTTGATGGGAGAAAAAATGACTCTTTCATACAACAACAAATTAATGACAAATTTCATCAAAATATAGTAAAAGAGCATCATTTAGTTGTTACAAAGGAGCAATGCCACATTACTTGCATATGTAAAGTTGAATGGTGATAATGCAGAAATAAAATGAATTTTTTGTTAATAAAGAAATATCACTAGATTCATTAAGTTTATCGTATTTTTAAGCGGTACAGAAAATGGTGTTTTACGTCAATTTGAATTGCAATTAGAAAGACCATTGCATTGGTTTATATGCGTACTACATTTTAATGAACTTCCATTACGTCACTTATACGAAGCATTGGAGAAATCAGCCACATCTGGACCTCGTACATCTGAGATATAGCCTAAAAGATTGTAGAATGTCACAAATTGCAGGAAAGTAATAATTAATTTATTTTAATATCTGATGTTAACATTACATAAGATCTAAGTATTTCTATACAAACAAACACTATTCTATTCAGGTTGTAAGTGACTTTCAATCGATTCTATTGAAGAACATGCCTCCGGTTTTGGAAGATCAACATCAAAAAAATTTATCTACAGACGCTCAATATTTTTACAAGATAGGAAAAAATTTAAAAATTCTAGCAATTTATATAATGACTGCTTACATTCCAATGTATTTTAACATTAAAAATTATAGTTCTGTAGTATACGGTAGTCAACTTTTATCGCAATTTATTCAATGGACAAAATATTTATCCCCAAATTTACGTAATATTATAATTAAAGTTGTTGACAATAATTCATATTACGCACACCCAGAAAATGAGTTATTGGGAATGCTATTTGATACGAGAAAAGACATACGCAACAGGGCCATAGAAAAAATTCTAAATTTTCGGGACAATTTAGACGATACTAGTAAAATTAGAAAATACAAAAAACCGAAGATTAATTACGAGTGTACCGATTACACCAATATGATCGATTTGAATGATGATGTTTTATATGAACCACCGTTTACACGCCACCTTCCCTATGATAACTTAAAAGACCTTTTACTATTTGATGATATGACACTGATGGATCCTCGAATTCCATTGCATATTCAAGGAACAGAGAGATACGTTTAACTGCTTACTACTGTTTCGCGACGTGTCACTCACAAAAATCGAGAAAGAGTTATGGCGGTAACTGTAGAGAGCAGAAAAAGAACTCCTCGCTTGGAGAGCAAAATAGACTTCAAAAACAAATTATAGTTTCATACCCTTATTATTTATTACGGGGTTGTTTTGATTCTAAAAAATTGTTGTAAAAAAGGATTTTAAGTTTATCATTAATTTTTGAATGTCAAGAATTAATTGTGATTTTAGAATATATTTTGTGCTAGTGAATTATTTTATTTAAGTTCATTTATTTAAAAAAACGTTTACTTATTTTTGAGGGTTTTTTTGTTTTAAATGTTGTTAAAATGGCCGGAGCAGAATCTTTAAATTTTATTAAACAAATATCTTGAAAATTTGAAGAGATGGGTATAGAGAATAGTTATAAGAAAAAACTCAGAATTTAATTGTCTTTCAGATGGCATTTTAGTTTAGTGGGTGTTTCATTTAAAATATGTGAGAAAAATAACTCTTTTAAAAATGTTTACGTTCATCCACATTGTAGAAGAAAATCAAAGTTTTAGTAAATGACTGTTCACGAGAATATATATTCTCGTGAACAGTCATTTATTAAAACTTTGATTTTCCTCTACAATGTGGATGAACGTAAACATTTTTAAAAGAGTTATTTTTAAGCATATGCTTAATAAAACTGAGAAAAATGAAATCATCTAGGTCTTACAGATTTTGAGCAATGAGCCCTCAAAGTAGACCATGTTTTGATAAAAAATCTCGCATAACTATCGGTGCTAGGCTATTAGTTTAAAGGAACTTATTTTATATTTGTCTCAAGGAATTCATTTTTATAAAAAAATATAGGGTGTTCCATTTAAAAAGGTAACTGTATCGCCACGCTTTTATGGAACACTCTGTATAAATGAAAATAATTTTAGAATATAGCTTTTAAAAATCCTCAATACTTTTATATAAAACAATTTTTCGTAAGTAGCACAGTTTAGCCGCTATTCTCCGCCGCGGTTGAATTGGGACACCCTGTATAAATACATTCTTTTATTAATTATATTTTTATTGCTGTTTTGAGTTTTATTTTCCAAGCTTTTTTTCCTAACAGATTTTTTGTTATCTATGTATATATTAAATATACTTGAAAAGTAGAACAAAATACAAATAAAGAATAATATTGCGTTTTTTTATATTAAAAAATAATTGAACATAAATGGCTATATAGCGACCCCTAGCGGTGGTTTACAAAAAATATAAATGTCACAAACGAATTCCTCGAACCAAGAAACAGTTTGGTAGAACTCTTTATCAATATAAAAATCCGAATAAAACAAAATAAAAATACAATTCTGCACTTTTAGAATGGTAATAATAGTATATTAAACTAGACTTTATTTTTGAAAATTGGGGGTATCAAAATTAAATTTGGTAGTGTGGTTATAGAATTTTACGTAAATTCCGAATATGCTATACGCATAAAAAAATTGACCCGCCCTAATATATATATATATATATATATATATATATATATATATATATATATATATATATATATATATATATATATATATATATATATATATATATATATTATATATATAATAATGTATATATATATATATATATATATATATATATATATATATATATATATATATATATATATATATATATATATATATATATATATATATATATATATATATATATATATATACATTATTATTTACGGAGCACCGTATTCTTAAATTTCGAATTTCGATCAATATTTTCTTAAATGATGAAACTGGGTTAACGAAGGAAATGTGAAGTTCGTTTGTTGTATTGCTCTTTTTTGTAGTTTCTGCATCTGCAATCAAAATACACATTAGTTGTGAAAGAATAAATCAACTGTTATCGACGTTTATTATTTAAGATCACCTTAAATACCTCTCTTTCGTTTAAAATAGAAGGAAAGATTGAGTTGTGAGTTTCGCATGTGTTACACTTTATGCCAGGTGATCGATCAATGTGTAACGCTTTCTTCGTTACAAGAGGTGATAAAGTAATGCTAGGTAAACCAATATCCTGAAAAGTAAATATTATTGAATAAATATAAGGAGTAATTGCAATAACTTAACAATTATAAAACATGAGTTAAAATAAAATATATAAACAATTGTTTTACAAGGTGCACAAGTAAATTCCTTAAGAGTTTCAGTTTACATTAATTCGGAAACTATATAAAATATTTATGAAATTCTATGTTTGAAAGGTGCTGTAATATTTTTGAGCACAAGTAAATATTTATAAAACTTAAGATAAATATTTTAAAAGATTGGGGCCAAAAAAAAGAGTTTAAACGGTTCATCAGGAATATATTTATTTTTACTAGATGTCAACTGAGTTTAAATAACTTTAAATTAATTTAAACTAACATTAATTCTTTTAAGCAATGTGAAAAAACAAACAAAAACATAAAATTAAAAGTTCACTAAAACTGTTTTGAACATGCGTAGCTATTAGGACTTTTTTATGAACTAGGTTTCAAGCCTGTTACCATTGAAATATGCAACTGCATTGTAACTGCCAAATAACTAAGCAAATTATAGCAGTTTTGGTTAAACAAAGATAAAAGTTGCAATCCTTTTATAAGGGGGGTTTAAAAAAGTAAATCAACTTTTGTAAGATTTTAGAGTCATAGTTTGAAAATATTGAATTTTTTTTATTATAACCATTGCAAAAACTAAATTTGTTACCATCAACCCCACTCTCCTCTACTGCTTGAAAAATTTTTGTTCATTTTAGCTTTACATAACTAAATCTTGCAACGTACATGTAGTTTAAGGTTCTTAAAACATATTATTAAAAACCTTTGATGGTAAACCTTAAATAAAGTCTATATTATACAATAATATTGTAATTATATAAAAACAATATAAATACAATTTTTAGAGGTGTTTAATATTATAAAAAATCAAGTTCTTAAAACATTTAAAAATAACTATAATTAATTAATGTATTTTATTTTTAAAATAGTAAGTTAGTAATAATATCTTTGGTCTACAGCAAGGTAGAAAAATAAATTGTTATTATAATGAAAAACTAATTTCAAGATTCAGAAAAAGTCTCACCACAGATCTATCTTTCCTTTTTGGAGATTGATAATGCAAAGGGTTTGAACTTTCTTTCTCTTGTTTCTCTTTCTCTCTTAATAATATAAATATTAGGTTTAAAAAAAAACTCAGCGCCCAAATATATAAGTATGAAAGCAAATTTGTAATAACAAATAAATAAAAAAGTAAGAATTCAAATATGCAAAAAAAAAAATGCTTTGATATTAAAAATTTTATTATTCATGCATAAAATCATACTGAGAATATACATAGTACCTTAATATATTGAAATATTTATGTTTAAGAACCATTTTTGCTGTTGGTCTGTAAGTAATGAAAAATGTTCAGTTATAACATGGATATATATATATATATATATATATATATATATATATATATATATATATATATATATATATATATATATATATATAGATATAGATATAGATATATATATATATATATATATATATATAAATATATATATATATATATATATATATATATATATATATATATATATATATATATATATATATATATATATATATATATATATATATATATATATATATATATATATATATATATATATATATATATATATATATATATATTAGAGTGTCTCTAAAATTAATTTTAGAAATTGTCTGCTGCCACTCCCTAAATGTAATAAATTAATACTAAAATAAAAAAAATTTTAAATAAAAAAATTTTGGGGGTCCCTTAAGACCCTCAAACATCAAACAGGTCCTTAATATTTTGAAAAAAAAAGTTCTTCAAAAGTATATCATATTGGGTCTCACAAAAAGTGAAATTTTAAAATTATAAAAACATTTTATATAAACACAAATTAAAAAAGTTTATTTTAAAAAAAAACTTAAAAATATGTACTCATTATTTTTTTTGTTGAAATGATAGTGTTTAAGCCATAAAATTAAGTAATCTTTATATAAAATTACTATTATTTTTGAAATTTTTATAAAATTCCACTTCTTTTGAGACCCAACATGATATACTTTTGAAAAATTTTTCTTTTTAAATTATTAAGGACCCGTTTGATGTTTAAGGGTCTATATATATATATATATATATATATATATATATATATATATATATATATATATATATATATATATATATATATATATATATATATATATATATATATATATATATATATATATATATATATATATATATATATATATATATATATATCTATATATATATATATAATATATATATATATATATGTATATATATATATATATATATATATATATATATATATATATATATATATATATATAAATATATATATATATATATATATATATATATATATATATATATATATATATATATTTTTTTTTTTTTTTTTTTTTTTTTTTTTTTTTTTTAACATCTTCACTTCCAACAAGGCTGCAAGCAACCACTATAAGAGTTGGAAGTTACTGGAAGAGAAAAGACTAAATCTGTAGAGCAAGATAACGATTGACTGATGACTTAAAAGATTGCAAATTATATGAATCAGGAAAGCAAGATGAAGGAAGCGAATTCCAAAGAACTGATGTTCGAGGAAAAAAACTAGAAGAATAAGAGTTTTTGAAGCACTTAGAAACAGTCACAGAAAAAGGATGAGACTTAATTGAATGGCGAGTAACACGAGAATGAATTTTAGTAGATGGCACAAGGGACGCTAGCTCTTTAGAGCAGTGCCCATTATAGTATTTGTAGAAAAGAGAAAGAGAAGCAACATTACGACGATGTGACAAAGGTTGGAGATTCTGGAGTAAGAAAGTGTCGAGCTCGATAAAGAGATGCAACCTTAGCAGATGCTAATTTTGCAATGGATTTGATATACGGTTTAAAAGAAAGATCAGAAGTAAGAGTTAATCCTAGAAGATGAATGGTAGATGACTCATCTAGTACATTACCATTCATAAATATAGGAAGATCTAAATTATTACGATAACGATTGGCCGAATAAAATTGAGTTTTATCTGAATTAAAGTTCACCAGCCACTGTGAGCCCCATGCTGTAGCAGAAGTGAGATCCTTTTCAAGCTCAGATACCCCCTCCAAGCAATCAGAGAGTGTAGGCTTCTTATCATGACAAGAGTAAATGGTAGTGTCATCAGCGAATAATGCCACCTTAGATGTGAGAATATCTGGAAGATCGTTAATGTAAATTAAAAAGAGTATAGGGCCAAGGATTGAACCTTGAGGAACCCCTGAAGTTACAGGATGTGAAGAAGAGTGTTGTCCATCGAGGACAACTTTTATACTACGATTGGAAAGAAAGGACTCAATAATCTTAAAGACGTTACCAGCTACACCATAAGAAGAAAGCTTATGGAGAAAACCAGCATGCCAAACTTTATCAAAAGCTTTAGAAATGTCGAGTGCGATAGCCTTAACCTCTCCACCTCTATCTAATGCACGGTAAAACCTATCGGTTATTACTGTTAGCACATCAGCTGTAGAACGAGAAGACCGAAATCCATATTGATGATCAGAAAGTAAGTTATTTGATTCAAGATGAGAGATTAAGTGTTTGTTGATTAAAGATTCAAAAACCTTGCTTATGACAGGAAGAAGACTAATGGGACGGTAGTTAGATGAATCAGATCGCTCTCCGGAATTTTTGAAAATAGGGATAACAGATGCTGCTTTCCAGCATGATGGAAAACAAGACTCTGATAAGCACTTGTTAAATAGTTTAGAAAGTATGGATGAAAGCTCCGGAGAACACCTCTGCAAGACTACAACAGGAATGTTGTCAGGACCACAAGCTGTTGAAGAGTCTAAGCAGGAAATTACTTTAGATACAGAAGCTGAAGTGATGCGAATGTCAAGCAAGGGATCAACCTGTTTGACGGCTATGTCAGGTAAAACGCAACTAGTGGAATCAAGAGATGATATTGATGAAAAGTTCTTAGCAAACAATTCAGCTTTGTCTTTAGGTGAGGTGACAAAGTCTGAACCATACAAGAGAGAAGGAATAACAATTTTTGTGATGAGATACGAGATTTAATGACCTGGGAATAGCGAGCTTTGGCGTCAGACAAAACCTTTTTACAATGGTTTCTGGCGATAGTGAACAGATGTCTGTTTTCTGGAGAATTGTTTTGCTGATAGATATGGAAGTAACGGTTTCGATTAGAAATTGCTGCAGCGCAATGTGAGGAAAACCAAGGAGAAGAGTGAGGCTTGACCTGGAATCGTCGAGAAGGAATAAAAGATTCCATGCCAGCCTAAATCCACTAAGTTATGTAAGAAGCACATTTGTCAGCAGGAAGACGAAAGATTTCTACCCAAGGGCCATCACGAAGAAAATCACGGAAAGAGTCCCAGTCAGCTTTAAGGTAGTTGTATGTGGTACGGTGATAAGGGGATTCTGATGAAGTAGAAGAATTTGATAATAGTTTTAGAGAGATCAAACCGTGATCAGAAGTACCTAAGGGTGAATGTGGAGAAATTGAGCACTGACTAGGATCCAAAACAAGACATAAGTCGAGTAGAGAAGGTAAATGATTAGGGTTGTCTGGAAAACGAGTTGGAAAGTTGACTATTTGAGTTAGAGATTGAGAAAGGCAAAAGTTGAGGGCCTTAACGCCAGCAGAGTCACTGACACTAGAGCCAAGCCAATCGGTGTGATGGGCATTAAAGTCACCAACAACGACAATATTGGCCGATGGATAAAGAGAGAGGGCTTGGTCAATTTGATCAGAAATAACATCAAGAATAGTGCAATCTTGGGATGAAGGAGAGCGATATAGAACAAAGAGAAAGGCGATAGAGTGAAGTTGTGCTAAACGAAAGCACATAAATGAATAGTCTGTAGATTCAAACCTAGTTTCACGACAAATGGGTGAGTTCTTACGAATGTAGATGCCCAGGCCAAGCATGTGATTATTGGAGTCTTTACGAATTAAAGGAAGATAACCATCAACACTAAGATCACAAGATGGGACAGCCGAACTCAAATTAGTCTCACAAAGAGCAAGTAGGTCTGGTGAACTTTGCAAGAGATAAGACTCAACAGAAGAAAAGTTACTTCGAAGACCACGAATATTAGTAAATGTTAGGTTTAGAGAACTTGGTAATGACGATGGTTTTTTGTGTTTTTTAGTTTTAGGTACTTTAGTCATTTTAAATTTATAAAGAACTTGACTCAAGTATAGATAGTACTCAGAACACTATTTAACAACTAAGCAATAGCCTCATTACTATTAATAAACCCTAAGCCGTAACAAAGGGCTCCAAATGTGGCCTCTGCAATGCACACCAAAAGTACAAACAGGGACACCATCCATGCGCAACATGGCACAATTAATCCAAAATTCTCACTGTAAATTTTAAAAACTTTTATTAGAATTCTTTTCGAATTTACTTTCACTCAAAACAATATGAATCACAAGAAAGGTTGTCATTACATTAAGAATTTTTGAAAATTAAGTGTACAAGATAGATAATAAAACCGGCACCAACATAAAGCTTTAAGCATAGGTTTCTTTATATTATAAATCAAATCCGAATTTCAAATATATATATATATATATATATATATATATATATATATATATATATATATATATAATAATAATAATAATAATTAGAGATTAAAGTGCCATTATTTACAACAATCACAATAGTGATGAAGTAATTCAGAAGCACTAAACAAGTAAACTATAAGTCTGAAAAAGAGTTCATAAAAAGTTCATATTTTAGTCTTTTCTTGAATGTTTCTATAGAAGTTGAGTTTCGTGTGTTCAAAGATAAACCATTCCAAATTCGAGGTGCAGCCATACAAAAAGATTTTGAGCCTAAGGAGGTTTTTTGTTGACGACGTGTAAGTTGGCAACTGTCTAATGATCTTGTATTTTGTTTTGAAGTTCGGACTTCTAGGAGTTCAAATAAATATGCAGGAGATTTTGATAATAAAATTTTATATGTGATAACTGATATTTTATAGATTATTCTTTGATGTATTGGTAACCAATGAAGAGATTTCAGCAATATTTCTGATTTTAAATGGAAAGGAGAATGGAAAACAATACGAGATAAGTTATTTTGAGTTCGTTGGAGTTTTTTAATATTTTTTTGATAAGTGCCAGATAAAATGCTGTTACAATAGTCAAGCTGAGAGTTAACGATGCCACAAGCAATTATGTTTGCAGCTTCTTTGGTCAGACATGGACGAATGTGGCGAAGTGCACGAATGTGGTAATTGCAGGATTTAATAATATAGTTTATGTGGTTGTCCATAGAGAGCTTTGAATCTAGGATGACTCCAAGGATTTTTACTGAATTTATTGTAGTTATTGTGGTTCCAGAAAACGCAATATTCAAATCATTTTTATATTTGCTAGTTTGTTTTCTAGATCCAAATAAGATAGCTTCTGTTTTATTTGGATTAAGCAGAAGTCCATTTTCTAGAAACCATGTTGTAACTGCATTAGCACACTCAGTGATTTTGCTGATGCTATCTTTGCCAGGGCTGAGGAAAGTATAAAGTTGGGTATCATCAGCATATTGATGATGATTTGTACCAAATTTAGCTATAATACGATATATAGGTGAAACAAAAATGGAAAATAGAAATGGGCCTAATACACTACCCTGTGGTACTCCTGTTGAACTTGCTATTAGTCTAGAATTTGATGATCCAATAGAAACAAAAGATTTTCGAGAGTGCAAGTATGATGTTAGCCATTTTAATGCAATATCTGTGACACCAAAATCATTCTTAATACGGGTAATCAGCAGGCTGTGATCAATTGTATCAAATGCTGAAGATATGTCCAGAGATAGGAGAATAGTGGTCAAACCATCATCAATGTTTAGCAGGATGTCATTGCATATCTTTAAGAGTGCTGTTTCGGTTGAGTGATAAGATCTAAAACCAGATTGTAGAGGATTGAAGTTGACAGATGATGTTACATGTGGACGAAGACGAGATAAAGCAAGCTTTTCAAGAATTTTCGAAATTGTATTGAGATTTGATATGGGGCGTAGATTTGTTAGGTCAAATTCTGCTAGTCCTGATTTTTTGGGAATTGGCGTTATTTGAGCAACTTTATATGAGGTTGGGAAAATTCCGGATTTGAATGAGAGGTCAGCAAGGTGAGCTATAATTGGACTGAATATTTCTGAACAAGATTTAAGGATGTTTGTTGGAATAATATCAAGTGGCGATGTCTTAGATTTGAGAGTTTTGATTATTTTCGACACATCTTTAGGTGTGACTGTACCAAATGTGGTTAAAATATCTACAGGGGGAGATAACTCTGAGATAAATTTAGATATTGGAGTTTTTGCAAGCCTTTCCTGAATAGTGTTCTTTATAATTTCGAGTTTGCGTATGAAATATTGACTTATTATATCGCATTTTGCTTCTGGTATTGTGTTATTAGTTTTAGAACTATTCGAATGTAGTAATTTCTTGGCAATGTTCCATGTTTCTTTTTGATCACCGTATGCTGAATTTAGTTTCGCCCTATAATGACTACATCTGGATTCGTGAATTGCTGCTGCAGTCTCACGGCATGCAGTTCGATATAATTTTTTATCTGATAAACTACCAGTTTTTCTATAACAACGTTCCAGTTTACGACGCCTGATTTTTTTATTCTTGGCATCTGAAGATAACCATTGATCATCGTGTTTACCAATTCGCATTGAATATTTTCGAATGGGTGCTAAATGATCAAGAACAGTTGTTATATTTGATCTTATTTGTTCAGCATAATCATCCACATTGTTTTCAGGTGATAAGCAACATGGCATCACTTGCAATTTTTTTATAAAGCATGACAAGTTTAGTTTTCTAAAGTTTCGTTTTGAAAACCAAACAGTTTTAGTATTTGAAGGTTGATGATAAAGTTCTACCCGAATCATATAGTGATCTGAAATACCCTCGTCAGTTACTTGGATACTCTTGAGTGAAATATCATCATGTCGATTTATTACAAGATCAAGCAAGTTGGCTATACCAGTAGTAGATGATATGCGAGTTGGAGATTGAACTCGTTGTATCATGTTGTAGGTCTCTAAAATCTCATTAAGTTTTGAATTGCAGGTTATGGGAGTAGTACCTGGACAGTTAAAGTCACCACACAAAAGTATTTCTCCAGATAATGTTTGAAGTTCCTCTAGGAGTTCAGATAATTCGAAAAAGAAAATGTTTGTTGGAATGATTGGATTTGATCGATAAATAGCAACAATATTGTAGATAGTATTTGTCAGGTTTAGTTTAGCTGATGTACGTTCATAAGACAGACAGGTAGATGATAATGAGAGTGGCTTGATATTCAAGTTGTCTCTATAGACTATCGCAACGCCTCCTCCACGATGGTCTGATCGGCAGTATTGAATTGTTTTAAAGCCTGGTGGGGCCATATCTTCTTTAATTGCGGTAGGGTCGTCTGACTTTATCCAAGTTTCAGTGAGTATAAAAATATCTAGAGAATGATTTTGCACTATATCATGAATGATAGCAGATTTTTTTATGGCAGATTGAACATTTTGGATACCCAAGTTTAATGCAGAGGTTCTTTTAATTTTTATATGTAAATTATGTTGATCTAATTTCGATCCATTTGAGTTCACCTGATCGTTTACCCCAATAATATTTTTTTCCATTGTGCATATTGTATCGTTGCCTCCCATTTGTTCCCTCAACCTCTTGAGTAAGTGCTGCATTTCTAGTATTTCTAACTTTTCTGAGTTCACTTTCGAACAATCTCTCATTTGCTGTTTTGTCTTTATTAATAATAATATTTTTGAAGTTAGTACTGTCCTTTAACTTTTTGGAAATTTTATATATATATATATATATATACACATATATATATACACATATATATATATACACATATATATATATACACATATATATATACATATATATATATATATATATATATATATATATATATATATATATATATATATATATATATATATATATATATGTGACATACAATACAGATTTCCATCTTCTTGTTCTACTGTTGATTCTTTAACTGTTCTAATAAAAAGATTCTTTTGTGTCTTGAATGGAAGCAGTGAAACAAAAGATATTGCTCTTGACATATAAATAAAGTCTGGCATGATGGTCTTCGCCATAAGTTGCCTTAATATGGTGCATCTGAGAAAGTATTTAAAATTATTGAATCATTTCTTTTGAACCACAGAATTTTCCATGATAGATAGCCCAATCCTTTATTTTCAGTCTCTTCTGAGGCACCAAAAGGGCTCAATCCTTGGTTCTGTGTTGTTTCTTTCTAAATCAACACTATTTGTTGATGATACAACTATGCTCAAGTCTTTACAAAATTTTATTACTTTTTGACTAGGACTGTTGAAAATAATGAAAATGACTTCTGAGGGTACTCATTAAATAAACGAGCAGGTACATAGGTACCCAATAAAAAAACAATATTTTTTATCAAACTAGTATTATAAACACTCAATTAAAACCTTTTATTCAGTGATGTCACTTATTTAGAGTTATTTTTACACTCATATCTAAACTTTTATTTTACTTGAGGTGTCCAAGTTCCACAAGTTTCAATCAAGGTATAGAAACACTAGCATGTCTACTGTTTCAGATCCAAAGATGCACACTATATATAGACCACATGCCAAGCAGTCAAAAAAGTGCATTCTGATGACACTAAAATAGCATAAATATATTTCCCATCTTCCAGACTTTGAAAGAGTTTTGTCAGAGAGACAAACTAATAAACGAGTAAGAGGAGTTCTTATTTATGTAAAGAAAATAATTTATGTAAAGAAAATAATTTATGTAAAGAAAATAATTTATGTAAAGAAAATAATTTATGTAAAGAAAATAATTTATGTAAAGAAAATAATTTATGTAAAGAAAATAATTTTTGTAAAGAAAATAATTTATGTAAAGAAAATAATTTATGTAAAGAAAATAATTTATGTAAAGAAAATAATTGTACATAACATGAGGAATAACAAGTGGACTTCTGAATCATAAATTCAAATAACTTTCCAAAAGTTATGTTCAACGTTTTCAGAAATTCTGATTCTGATAAAGAAATTACAACTATTGAAATTTTTAACAACAAGATCTTCAAGATATTCTTTTACATACTAAGTCACAATTAATGACTTTAAACTTAAAAAATAAATGAATATTAAATTTATCGAATGACGGTTAACCATCATTTGATAATGCTATCCAGACAGTAACCAATAGGCAGGTATTCAGTTGTCAGGGCATCCGTAACAGCCTTACCATTGATTGTAACTGTTCAATTATGCTCACCTAAAACTTTTATCCTTTTTTTTTTTTCCTCAGACATAGGTGCTTTGAAGTTTTCCTGTCTTTATCCTAACTCATACAATTTATGAATGACTTCATTTTATCTCATAAATTTATGCAATTTATTTATCATACATCTTTTAACTTATACAATTTACTTTTTTTTTATACCCTCTGCCATCATCTTTAACTCTCTTCTCTGTTTTCTGTAAACTTAGTTTACGTTAGAGAGAAGTTACAAAGTATAAAAATACAACTTTATAAACTTATACTTGTTATGAGTCTTTGAATTACTACTATAATACGCTGTGAATATTGGGTATAATCCCGTGTAATTTTTTTAATTTAGCTTTCATATCGAAATATAACTAACTTGAAATTTTATTCAAAAAATAGCTAATTTTGTTTAGAACAGATAAAAAAGAAGTATATACAAATTCTTAGCAATTCTTGTTTTTTTTTTATATATATCAGGTTTTTGTTTTAGAAAAATGTCTTCATTTTTTCAAAAATTTTATTCTATTTCATACAGCATAGTACCAAGTTATATCCATGCCCATGATAGTACTGTACTAAATATGCTTGCTTCACAAAAGTAGTGTTGCTCACCAAGTTTTGATTTTTGAATAAGATTTTTTTATAATTTTTTTTTTTTTATATAATTTGTCTTTATAATTGCAGCAACAGTTATAAAAAAAAATCGATAAAAAATTAGATTCCATTTTGACTACAGTGGCCTTATAACTTTATAACTTTATATAGAATAAAACAAAAAAACTTTAAAATTTCAGATATTTTTATCAAGTATTTGAAATAAAATCAATTTTTTTTAATTAATAAACATGTATAGATAAATAATTATGTTATATAACAATAAAAAAATTAATTCAAGAACCCTGAATATTTATTCAAACCTAAAATCTGGATCATATCTGCAGAGTAATTCAATGATAGTAATGGCTTTCCTTGACAGTGTATACAGTTTAACACTAACACCACAGCCAATACTTGGTGGAAATTGAAAACTCATATGTTTTGATCTAGAAACAAATATATATTCAACAATATAAACTAAATAATTCATTTTTCATAACTTAAAAGTAATTTATTTCTAGCAATTCGAAAAAAATTTATTTCTATATTATACTAATATATACTATTTTCTTGTATTATTTTTCTAATTTCAAATTTCATATGTTAATTATTAAAAAATTAAGTTTTAGGATAATACTAATGATTAAATAAATTATAATTTGAAACTTAATTGATTTGTTTGAAAAAATTCATAATTAAGCATTTTTGACCTTTCAGTGTAAATAAAATAATAATGTATGTATGTGCGTATTTATACATGTATGTTTGTGTTATGCATATGTATGCATGTGTTTATACATGTATTTGTGTAGGTATGTATGTAATAATCAACAAACTTTTTAAATTTGGCAAGAAGCTCTGGTGAAGGTGACCCTAACACACTGTGAATTTGATTGATTTGATCTACTTCATTTGTACCAGGAAATAAAGGATGCATGCTAAATAAATCTGATAAGTTTTTTTATAAATATCTAATTCCACCATTTAAATGTATTTTATATAATAAATAATACTAGAATTAAAATAATTTGAAAAAAAAATAATTTGAAAAAAAATATTTTTAGGGTTCATTTTTAAAATTCTTTATAAGTATATCGTGTTGGTCTCAAAAGAAGCAAAGAACTTTTTTTTTGATAATACTAGGTACCAGTCTGATGTTTAAGGGACTTAAGGAACCATTAAATTTCGAGCATTATTTTATAAAATAGAACATATTTTAAGGATGGAAGCATACATTATTTTAAAAAGTTATTTTTTGGGACATCCTAATATATGTATATTAGAGTGTCCCATAAATTAATTCTAAATAAGTTTATTAAAATTATTGATTAAATTTTTATTATTATTTTTTTTTGGCTGCATTAATAGAAAAAAAATAAATTACGTAAACCCATGATTATAAGGTTGAAAAATTATAAAGTAAAATACTTACAATGTTATAAAGTTAAAAAACGATACTAAATGAATACCTGAGTAAAAATTACAAGGTTAAATGATTATATATTTATAAGATTATAAAGTTACATGACAAAGTTTTTTCGAAAAGATTTCTAGGTTACGTAATCACATGACTATCATATTATAAGGTGAATACATTTAAAAAAAATTTTTTTTTTTTTTTTTTAAAGCGCATTATGCATATGTTTGTTATGATGTATGTTATATGTTACATACACCATACCAAGTATAACAAATATCAAAACAAAAATAACAAAAATGGTAACCTAAGAATTTCAGCAAATACACATCCTACTGACCATATGTCCATTTTGAAAGTGTACCATCCATCTGTAAGTAAACATTCTGGTGCACGGTACCTTGAATAAAAAAAAAAACTTTTATCATTTACATTTTTTTGAGATATAGTAATTTGAATATATATATATATATATAAATATATATATATATATATATATATATATATATATATATATATATATATATATATATATATATATATATATATATATATATATATATATATATATATATAATCATTGTTTAATTATTAAAAAAGAATGCTGAATTAATAAATAGCCTTGGTGTAGTACTTCCAGAGGCATAGGGTAGATTTAAACCTTAAGCCTTGAAATCTGATTATGAGCTAAAAGTTCTACCACTAACCTACTACCACATTATTTTGATTGGTAATGCTTGTTTGGTTGATAACACTTATCCAAAAACATTTTAATGCTTCTTATTAAATATTTATGAGAAATCAAGCAAAACTCATTTTATTAAATACAGTAATAAAAAAAATTTGAGCAATCAGCTTAGATTCAAAAAAATATTTGAATTTTTTTGAAAACAGTTTTTTAAGTATCTATATCTTCTAAAAAACATTTTGTAGTCACAAAGTCAAATATTTTGCAAACTTGAAATTTAAAACAAGCAATAAAATGTTGTTAATTGTTGCAACAAATTTTATTTTAATAAATATTAAGTAACTTTTTTTATTTATCAAATATGCTTAATACTAGGTTTAACAGAGTGGTGCACAAACCTTTATATGAGAGATTTTCAAGAAAAGGTTATGTTTACTTCAGTAATGAATAAAATGTCACATTAATGATAATTCACATAAGTAATTTTATTCATTACTTCAGTAATAAATAAAATGTCACAATGTGACATTTTAATCATTACTAAAGTAGTAATTAAAATGTCACGATGTTTGAAATAAAAAAACAAAAAATCTTTTAGGTGTAAAAATTAAAACTCAAAAAAAAAATTTATGCAAGTTTATATAATTATATAAATAGTTCATAAAAAAACATCTTCGCAAATATTTTTCATCAGAAAACAAACTAATGTTTTAAATAGTTGTTTCTTCATTGGGTTAATTGACGTTTTACAGCATTGGTTTAATTGTTTTCTGACAAAAGTCATTGATGCATTTATTTTGAATAAATGACTTTTGGGTCTACAAACTTGTTTTCTGATTTCACTGTTGGGTTACCTTTTTATAACTAATTTTAAAAATATCTTCTAAAGTTTGATTAGAAAGTGATTGACAGTTTTTGGACAAGAGAATTTCAATTATTTTAACAATAAAGTAAATTAGTCGTGCTTGAAACAAAAAGACATTAAAAAATAAAATTTTTATCTTATATAATATTGAAAATTAATCATGTCTTTTATAGAAATTTACTAAACACACCATCTTGTAGATATATATTCTGTATGTGGCTGAGTAGAATTAAAACTTTGACATGATCCAAAATCAGCAATTTTCACAGTATCATTCTATAAATAATTGTTTACAGTATGTATCAAACTAAAAAATTTTCAACAGTTTTTTTATTTAACAAAATAATAAAAAAATATACCTAGTTAGACAAGTGCTCTAACCCTTGAATCTCTACTATTTTTATTGTTTTAAACAGTCTTTTTTTGAAAATGTACTTCTCTATTTATACCACAATCAGTTATTTAGGTGGAAAAGGAGAATACGAAAAAGGTGAGATAATGACAACAAAAAAAACTCCTCTAAAGAATGCTTTAGAGGAGTTTTTTTTGTGTCAGTTGTTAACTGAAACATGGAAATAGAACTAAAGTATTGAGTAAAATCCCTAGTTAATCAAAGTAAACCCCTGATTGATTGAAGTAAGCAACTAATACAAACTTTATGTTTTACTTAAATATTTAATAATCTAGAACTTTTCGTATTTTATAAAACTGTAATAGTAAATAAACTACTATTAACTTTTGGTCTGACATAAGTAACTTAAAAAATGTAAAGTTAATCTCATTTGTTTCAACAAAAAAAAGGAGAGGGGGTTAAAGTTTTTTAATGTAACTTTCATATTTCTAGCCAATTGTGTCAACTTTAGATTAATGCTAACATTAATAACAAATAATATGTAAATACTAATAATAACTGATATAAAGCTACTATAAATATAGAAGAATAAATCTGTTGTAAAAAGTTTTGAAAAGATCGAGAGAGAAAAGCCTATTATTTTTTATAGTACATATAAAAAATCTGCTAAATTTTCTCAAATTGTATTATTTATGTCATACATGTAATGAAATCACTTGTATATTAAAAAAAACGCAGAGCATTTCATCCATTTCTCTATTTAGAAACCCAATTAAAATTATTTTTCTCTAGATTTTATTATAAAATAACTAAAAAAACTTTTATCTAACTGCTATTTTAAAAGAAAAAAAAGTCAATTTTTGACAGCAAAAAAATAAAATATAATAACATCTAATTGCTATAAATATACTTTATTAACAACTTATGTAACACACAAATTTAAATAAAATTTAAAGTCACCTTAATTAAAATGTTCTCAGGTTTGATATCTCGATGAAAAATGCCGTTTCTAAATATAAAACAGCTCTCTTGAAGCTAAATTATATTATTATATGAAAACATATATATTAATAATATATATATGAATGTATACATATATATATATATATATATATATATATATATATATATATATATATATATATATATATATATATATATATATATATATATATATATATATATATATATATGAATGTATACATGCATTCATATGTATATATATACATATATATATATACACATATATATACATATATATACATACACATATATATATACATATATATATACACATATATATACATATATATATATACATATATATATATACATATATATATATATATATATATATATATATATATATATATATATATATATATATATATATATATATATATATATATATCTTGCTTACTGGTATCACGTAACCCAGTACCACCTGCCACAAGCCCTGCTGCCTTGCAGAGTGTGCTCTTCTTAGGCAAAGGCTAGGAGAAATAAACTCTGACTAAAAATTCCCCTGCCTTGGGGCTCTTGGTTGAGTAAAGGCTAGAGATGGTGTCTCGATAAAAACACTCATCTTGGGCAGATGTTAACTGCATCCAGCTACTGTCTTGTAGAAGGCCTCCTAGGCAAAGACTTTAGGGGTAAGCAGAAAATTTCTGCTAACCAGCCTCGAACCCACGGTTTGTAAATTTGGGACCCTAATATCAATGAAATACCCTATGAAAACCCTTTTAAGGGGGGATAGTACATGCCAATGGGAGTCTGTATTGAGTTGTTTTGAAATCAGGGATTAACATCAAAAAGAATTATTTGATCATGAAGGTTTTTTAAAAGGGTTGATTTATGAGCCAAATTAAGCTGCCTATTAATGGTACTAAACTTGCTCCCTTAATTTTTTTTATAAAATAAAGATTGCAGCCCATGAAACGTAAAATGTTTATTATTTTATTCATTTTTTTTGAAATAATTCTTTATTGAGCGTTTTGATCAGTGCAAGCGTAAAATCGAATTTTCGAAACTAACGAAAAGAGTAAACAAATATATTCTGGGAAAAGGCAGTACACTTTAAGATTTTTTGAAGGAAAACATATTTTTTTGTGAACAAATATTTAAGAATTTAAAGATGCCTACATTTGCCAAAAACCATGAAGAATGTAGAAAATCTGTTTGTGTTATCTGTATGAAGAAAGGTGATCAAGAATTAACTGAAAACTTCAAAGCTAAAATTCTTCAACAAATTCAGAAAGAAATCAACTTCAATGATGACAGAGTACCATTGGCGACCTGCATCTCCTGCAGATCTCACATTGGAAAGCTGTGTGATGGTAAAACAAATGTTGTGCCTCAGATTTATGACTTTGAATCAATTTCGATCAAGCCTCTTACTCGTTTTTCTACAGTCTGTGAGTGCTTGATTTGTAAGATTGCCAAACTCAAGGGAAAAGAAAGGCATCCATTAAGCAAGGTTCAAGATTCAGCACCAAAAGTTCCCCAACAATCTTCGCAAAATGCAGAAAAGCATTGTACTAAGTGCTTGTCAGTTATTGGTCGTGGGCTTCCTCACTACTGCACTCCTGGAACACGCCATGAAAATTTGAGAAGAATGGCTGCCTCTGATCCCATTGGTGCAGAGCAAGTTGCAGCAACAGTTTTGGCATCAAAAAGTGCATCTCCTCATGGCACCATCAGACTCAGTCAACCTTGTGGAAAGTTATTGCCATTAAGAAAAGGTAATAGTGCTTTTGAAATTTAAATGATTAAATCAAAATATAAATATTATCTATTTATTTTTCAAAAACTTACTTAATTTAAAAATAAAATTTTCTCTGCAAATATATTTGCAGAGAAAATTTTATTTTTAAATTAAGTAAGTTTTTGAAAAATATTAATATTTTTTGAAGGTCATGAACTATTTTTTAAATGCAATTTTTATAATTAGGACCTTCATCAGCACAGCAACTTTTCAAAGAGCCTCTCACAACGCAGAATATGGTTCAAATTCAGCAGAATATAGGACTTTCAAACAATGGGATGAGAAAACTTGGATCGGCACTAAATCAAATCAGTCCTATCAGATTGGTGGAGCCAAGTTTTTAGCAAAAATTCGCTCAAGCAGGCCAAAAACTTTGTGATCACTTCACTGTGAGCAGCATCACTCTTGCTGAAAACAATCAAATATCCCAAGTTGTGCATTGTCAAAACCTCAGTAGTCTTAGTGATGTCTTCTTATCATCAAGAAAGATGACAGATTCTGCAATTTTGAAACTAGGGATTGATGGTGGAGGATCTTTTTTGAAAGTCAGCTTCACACACATCATTGTGGATGAAGGTGAGATACCGCCACATAGCCCACTGCAGAAAACAATCAAATTGATGTCTCCACAAACAACTAAATCAACAAGTGTCAAGCAGCAACTACTGGTAGCAATTGCACAAAACACTCCAGAGAACTACCATAATGTGAAGGCAATTTTTGACCTCATCCAAGTACAAGAGAAATGTCGGATGGATTCTCTGGTCATATCATGTGACCTAAAGTTGGCAAATATTCTGTGTGGCATTCAATCCCATAGCAGCAAACACCCATGTTGTTGGTGTGATGTTTCGTCTTTAAACCTCCAAAACTGTGGAAGTCCTCGAACTTTTGGCGAGATTAGGAGACAACATTTTGAATTCATCAACGCAGGAGGAGATACAAGAAAATCAAAGGAGTTCAAAAATGTTATTCACGTACCATTGGTTGATTTTCCTGATCACAAGCTTGTGCTTGAAGCTATCCCTCCAATGGAGCTCCATTTGTTACTTGGAGTAGTAAACCATTTGTATAAAAATCTTTGCAAAATTTGGCCAGGGGCCGAGAAATGGCCAGCTTCACTTCATATTCCTATTCAGCCCTACCATGGTGGACATTTCAATGGGAATGACTGCATGAAGCTCTTGAGAGGTTTAGACAAGTTGCAATTGGTCACAGGATACAACAATTTTAGTCAAGCTTATGACTTCATGCAAACACTTGCACTATTTAAGGATGTGGTCATTTCTTGCTTTGGCAATAATTTGGATCCTGATTATGAATCGAAGATCTCCAAGTTCAAACAAAGCTACATCCGCCTACCCATTTCAGTTACTCCAAAAGTACATGCAGTGTTTTACCATGTACCTCAGTTCATCAAAATCAAGAAAACAGGATTGGGTCTCTTCAGTGAGCAGGCAACAGAAGCTCTGCACTCCAATTTCAAAGTTCATTGGGAGAGATACAAACGAGATTTCTCACATCCAGACTATGCCAGCCAACTCCTGAAGTGTGTGATCGAATACAACAGCAAGAAAATCTAGATCTAAAGAACAGTGTTAAAAAAATCCTAAGAATACTCTTAACAGATTTGTAATATTTTAGTGCCTTTATTTTGTTCCAGATGATTCGTCTCTAGAGAGCATTATAATTTTTAATGGAATTATAGAAATTGTTGTTTATCTTCTAAATGCGATTATTAAGAAAATAAATGAATAAAATAAAAAAGCTCACAATTTATGTTTTTAACATTTTTTGTTTTATGATGAAAAATCAGAAATGTATTTTTGTACTACAAATAGGCTGCCAAATGTTGCTTAAAATTCTTATTTTCTTCAAAACTTCAAGGTAAAAAATCTCCATTGGATGTTAATGCAGGATTTCAAAATCACTCTGTATGGCCATCCATTGTTATGTACTATCCCCCCTTAAAAGGGTTTTCATAGGGTATTTCATTGATATTAGGGTCCGAAATTTACAAACCGTGAACCCCTTCTTCATCTATTAGGCTGGCGTAGATGTAACCTGTGTTACATTGTTTCCTGCCTAGGATGATGAATGCTGGATCTCCTTGACTCTACTCATAGAATTTTGCTTATGCCTCCTTGATAATGGCTATGCAACTCTTCCTGTTATTTCCATATGAGGGTACAGCTCTAAAACTCATTTTAATGGTTCTGAGGCCGGCTGGTAGTAAGGTTTCCCAAACTCTGTGGTAGCTCTCAGAGAGGCTGACTCCATCAACAGCTGCAAAATATCAGAGTATTAACAGTGCCATGTTGCGCATGGATGGTGTCCCTGTTAATGCTTTTGGTGTGCATTGTCAAGGCCACATAAGGAGCCCAATGTTACGGCTTAAGGTTAATTAACAGGACTGAGACAACTGCATAGCTCATTGATTAGGAGGCTGTACCCTATCTATGAATGAGTCAAGTTCTCATTAAACCCAAATCATGACCAAAGTAACAAAAAATTTAAAACCTAAAAAACCATCCTCACCACTTAAATATTTTAATATATCTTTTACAAATATTCGCGGTCTACGAAGCAACTTTCCATCAGTTGAGTCTTACCTCCTGCAAAATTCACCAGACTTGCTTGCACTCAGTGAAACAAATTTAAATTCTGCAATTCCTTCTTCAGATGTCAGTGTTGATGGGCACTATCCTTTGATTCGTTAAGACTCAAATAGTCACATGCTAGGTTTAGGGGTATACATACGCATTAATTCTGCTGTCAGACAATCAATACGGTTTTCGATCCTCTCGCTCTACGGCCGACTTGCTAACTGCTGTAACTGAAAGATTTTATTGTGCATTAGATGGAGGTGGTGAGGCTAGGGCTATTGCTCTCGACATATCTAAAGCTTTCGACAAAGTTTGGGATGCTGGTCTTCTCCATAAGCTTGCTTCATATGGTGTTTCTGGGAAAGTTTTTGAGATTATCAAATCATTTCTTTCTAACCGGTTTATTAAAGTCATCCTTGAAGTCCAACACTCTTCTTTATTTCCAGTAACTTCTGGGGTTTCCCAAGGTTCCATCCTGGGCCCTGTTTTGTTTCTTATCTACATAAACGATCTTCCTGACAACCTTTAATCTAAAGTAGCTCTTTTTGCTGATGACTCAACTTTATACTCCTGTCTTGACAAAAAGTCTTCTCTTTTTGATCGCCTAGAACAAGCAGCTGATCTTGAATCCGATCTCACTTCAGTAATAGATTGGGGTTCACAGTGGCTTGTGAATTTCAACTCTAAAAAAAACCAGTTGCTTACTGCAAACAACTACCGTAATATGGTCAACATTCCTATATTAATGAATGGCAATCCTCTTACTGAGTCCTCCTCTTTACGTCTTCTTGGATTATCGCTTACTACTGACCTTTCATGGAAACCATATATACAATCGATTACTAAATTAGCTTCTGCTAAGGTTGCTTCTCTTTATCGTGCTCGCTATTTCCTTACTTCTGATTCCATTCTCTACCTCTACAAATCTCTTATTCGTCCCTGTATGGAATACTGTTGTCATATTTGGGCTGGTTCTTCTAACGATTCACTTTCTCTTCTTGACAAGGTCCAAAAATGCATTGTAAATGTTGTTGGACCTGGACTATCTGCTAAGCTTGAACCTCTTTCCCATCGTCGTAAAGTTGCATCTCTTTCTATTTTCTACAAATACTATCATGGTCACTGCTCAAAGGAGTTATCATCTCTAGTTCCATCAACTAAAATTCATTCTCGTTTTACTCGTCATTCAGCTAAGTCTCATTTGTTTACTGTATCTGTCCCTGCATGCTCTAAAAACTTTTATTCATCGAGTTTTTTTCCCCGCACTTCAATCCTTTGGAACTCTCTCCCATCTTCATGTTTTCCTGACTCATACAACCTTCAACATTTCAAGTCTTCTGTCAACCGTTTCCTTGCTCTATAACTCTGTTCTTTTTTTTCCTAGTAACTCCCAACTTAATAGTGGTTGCTTGCAGCCTTGTTGGGAGTGAATGCAAATAAAAAAAAAAGAAAATCTGCTTTTGGAACTTGTTACTTTCATCATATATATTTAACTTTAAAAAGCACTGCTTGTATATAAAAAATTAAAGAGCCTAAATGCAAATACAAACTAAACTTCTTAAAAACAAAAAAAAAAAAAAGCTTTGCTAAAAAACAAAGAACACTCGTTTAGCAAAAAGGTAATGAGAAAAAACAAATGATGTAAAAATATATCTCACCACAAATATATGAGAATTAATGAAAAAGTTAACAATTCTTTAAATAATAAACTAATGTTAAATCTAATTGCATACAGACACTATAAATTATTACCATATAAACAAAAAGACTTTAGGCCAATCACTAATCAAGCGCAGATTTTCAACTATAATCTAACAATATTTCTGCTTTCACTACAACTAGGTGAAACCATGTTAGTACAGGTATGGTTTCACCAAATGAATAATAAAGTAAATCTAGTAAGTACTATAAACTGCATATGAAGGCCATTACTTAACAAGTACAAACTGAAAATAACTATAACAATTTTTAAAAAAGTTATTATATAAAGTAATTATATAAAATTGTTATTATTTAAGATAGACATATGTGAGGATTAAAAATAATAATAAAAAACTATATTAGGATAGCAATACATTTTGCATATAACAAACCATTTCTTTTTATGTTTTAATACCTTTTTCCAGCAAAAATTACCTGTGAATGTAATCTAAACCTTTTAATATTTGGTAAATGTATAACTGACATAAAGACTCTGAAAGTAGTTTTTTTTTATCTAAAAATAAATAACAATAACTTCTGTCATAATAAATCTGACATATTTGACTAGAAAAAGAAACAAGCTAAAAACTAACTAATAAAAATAAAAAACAATACACAATATTTGTCTAAAAAAGATTGAATGATAAAATAAATCTTTTTGCTTATCAGCTAAAGGCTTTATGAGATAAGTTAATAAGAACAATGCAAAATGCAAGAAAAATTAATTTTCAAATTTTTTAACTAAAAAATGAACTCACTTTTCATAAATTCATATAGGTTTGTATCCATTAACTCAATGATGATAGCTAAAGCACCATTTTTTTTATTGCTATGCAATATAAAAGAATAATATAAGCTATAAAGAAATCAAATATAAAAAATATATAAAAAATAAAAATAAACATACAAAACTATTTCCTTTAAATCTATAATATTTGCATGATGCTGGAGACTTTGCAAACACTGAATTTCTCTAAGATTATTTGCTTGCTCATAGCTGAAAATATTTTACAATTTGTCAAAAAGAAAAGAACTTCTTTGTTGTCTAAAAGATAAACAAAACTTATTTTATAATAAGAAGTTTTTCTTATTTTTATAGAATTTTTTTTAATGTCAAGTATCTATAAAGTGCACCTTTAAAATGTTTGCTTCATTAGCTTACATGCATAATGTTTACCATTCTTGATATTTTGACATTTTAAAACATTTGAAAAAGAACCTTCACCTATTTTCTCAATCAATCGATATTCTGAAATTACAAAAAAAAAATTTCAGGCAGAGTTTCCATTTATTAATATAGGAATGTCGACAGTATTGGGATAGTTGTTTACAGTAAATAACTGAGTTTTGTTGGAGTTAAAATTTACAAACCACTGTGATCCCAATCTGTTACAGAAGTGAGATTCAGATTTAAGATGAGCTCCCTGTTCTAAGCCATCAAAAAAGAAGACTTTTTGTTTAAATATACAATATTTATATGATATATATATATATATATATATATATATATATATATATATATATATATATATATATATATATATATATATATATATATATAATAAATATATATGTATATATGTATACAAATATATAAATATGATTTTGGTGTTTTAATATCATACGATCTTAAATCTTTAGCACAAGCATGTAAAGTTGTCTCATTAGCTTGTAAAATAACTATAAAAGACTTTAATTATGAACTCAAATGCAAATAAATAAATATTACCCAATTTAATTTTAGACATGAGCATGACAATATGATTCAGCAATTTAAAATACTACAAAACATCAATAATATACAATGGATTAAACCACTAATAATTATTCCATCTCGTGCTAATCAAACTCGATAACTAAAATGGGAAATAAGAAATTATCCGCCTAGACATCACTTTTATGATATTGCTTTACAATATCATGAATGGTTTTATGATATAAAACCATTAATGATATTGCTTTACAATATGGACAATTAATCAGCAAAACTACCACATGGAGTCATCCACTGTTTACACTTTTTAACTCTTGTTTAAATATGCTGCAGATTTTTATTCTATACTATACTATATGAAAACATAAGATGAAGGTGTCAAGTTACAAAAACTGAGATTTTCAGTGTTAAAGTGTTGAACACATTTTGTTCTAGATATTTTTTTATAAAAATGATCTTATAACTTAAGGATGTTTACAAATAATATAATTTCTAATGATGTGTTAATAAATGAACACCTAATAATAATTATGTTAGTAATAAATAATAACAACTCTAAAAACCATAGCATTAACAATAATAATAACATTAAATACGTACATACATACATACATACATACATACATACATACATACATACATACATACATACATACATACATACATACATACATACATACATACATACATACATACATACATACATACATACATACATACATACATAAAAAATCTTAAGAAATAAAAAAAGTATTAAAAAATATATGAGAGTATTTTTTAATAAGAATATTAACAGTATTATTTTGCTTTTATTGATGTTATTATTCTAGTAGCTATCCAAAGAGTGTGTTTATAATTTACTGAGAAATATATATTTAGATATCGAGTTTACAGTTTTAAAAGAATGAGGAAGATTTTTCTAAGCATTGGTGCATTGATGTTAATACATTATTAATACATTTCAAGTTAATGTATTTTGATACTTCATTGCAGAGTTTTTTAGCATCTACATTCATGTTTTTTATTTTGTGTAAAAATTGAGGTGTACTTTTTATGCCATGTTATAAAGTTCATGTGAATGAGCCTACCTTAAAACCTTTATCTGGGTAAAAAAACAGAATTTTTATTTGTGTAGCTTAATGCCTTCATCCACTTATGCCTTCATATATATCGATGGTTTAAAGCACAAAAGACACTTGTCCATATAAGACAGTTTCAAAAAAACAGGTTTTTAAAGTTTGACATCCTTAAATAAATAACTGATTAAAACTATTTTAGAAGATAAGTAAATGAGTAAGTTTAAAGGGTGAACATGCGCATTTTGTGCTTAAAACTAACGATATATATTTCATTATTTTAATTTGATTATACGTACTGTGCATTTGAAAATTTTGTGCGTTAAATTATTTTATCGAGGTCTTTAAAAATTGCATCAAACAGATATCAAAATACTAAAATTTGTTTGTTTTTATATAGTATCGAATTTGATTTGGTTTGCAAAATGCAAAAATAACAAAAAATATTAGGAATCAGACCTTTTGATTTTAAGTTATGTTACTAGGTTACGATAATACAGATTTCCGCAAAAAGACGTCAACTGGGATGTATTTATATATCATATACAGGGTCAATAGAGCGTACTTATTTTAGTTTTCTCTGAAGTGATAACTTAAGTTCTTCCTCAATTCATTTTTTTTTTAGAATTGCCGCGCGGAAGATACTATTGACTTAGCACAAGAACAACCACAAATAATTATTGCAGCTCTTATCTTTACAAAACACTAATGTTCAAAACTACTACAATTTCAAAATATGATAACCCGAAGATTTTAAAATAAGTATTTATAAGATATATATCTTATACATACTTATTTTAAAATCTTTGACGTCAACTTGGATGTATATTAGGGTTATGAATTTTTGACTTTTTAAAAAAATTAATTTCCTGAGTCATAAATCGATGAACTTTTATTTTAATTCATTGGAAACATGTTCAATTCCTCTCGATTGTAAAAAAAAGGTCACCCCGCAATCAGAGACGATTCTACAAATAAAATGAGGGAAGGATGAATCCTCAAATAGTATCGACTAGCTTCTTAAAAAAAAAAAAAAAGTCCTCAAAACGAAAATTTAACCGACTGAATGAATGGTGTCATATAGCCGACTGCTGACACACACACACACACACACACACACACACACACACACACACACACACACACACACACACACACCCAACATAAAATGGCCTCTGCCCGCAATTCAAATTACGTTTCGTCATTTATTATTGCTACTAATAATAAAATACTGATAAAATACTTAAATGTTAAGATTAATGTATCAAGCAGAGAAGCTACGAACCTCTTTATGAAACTTTTGAAACCCCTTTTTGAAACAATCCATCCCTCTAAAAGACAAAAACCTTCTTATGAGTCATCCCACTCATTATGTTATTTTCCTGGTTTTAGTGATTCTGACTCTGAGGCTGGCGACGGTGAATATGAAAATAATGAAGAAGATGAGATAACTCCTACACCAAGCAGAAAATATCATAAAAGCAAAATTGCAGTCAACTTAGTGACCTCCAAAAGAGTATCAACAAACAAAGCTGCTAACATATGCAAGCAATTGGCTTGTGAAGGCATTGACATTCCAACTCCATGTCAATCAGCTATTTAAAAGTTAGCAATCAAAGAGACAAGCTGAAAGAAGAAATGATTGAAAAATTCCATATGGAAAGTTGGTTCTTACATTTTGATGGCATGCACATTGACAGATTGGATTATCATATAGTCGTTAAAAATGAAAGAAGAGAAATCAAATAGAATTTTCTTGGCTAGGTAGATGGCAGGGCTTTGGCTATTGCTTAAGGAATTTTTAAAATCCTCAACAAACTTTACCTATGAAATTCAATGCAGATAATTATTGCAGATACCACCAGTATTAACACTGGAAAAAAGAATGGTGTTTTTGATACCTTAACGAATGTTCACAGAGAAACGACGTTGGCATGATGTTATAAATGAAACACCGAAAAAACGTCATTTTACTAAGGTCATTACAACGATGAAGAAAGACGTGGTGACAACGTTACATTTTAGCTAAATGACGTCGGAATAACGTTAGAGCAACGTTAAATTTGAAAAAAAAAGACGTTATAAGGACGTTAGGCTAACGTTATATTTTAGCTAAAATGACGTTGAGCCAACGTCTTTTCTATCGTTTTTTACACTTTGGAATAATGGCATATATGAAACATAGATTAACGTTATATTAACAATGTTGCGAAACGTTGTAATAAAAACGCCCTCCAACGTTTTTCTATCATTTTTGATGTTATTTCTACACTTCAAAAAACAATAAAGGACAGTTTTTCTTCTTATTTATTTAGGTTATACACGATTATTATATTAGTCCGGGCAAATAATTGAATACGGAAATTAAAAGAATAAAAACAAAATAAACATTGCATCACTTCTATTCCAAAATTTTAAAATTATATACAATAACTTAGAATGAAACTAGTTTGATTTTTACTTTTTTTGCAAATTTCAATCATATCTCAAATAATTTGCGTATTCTTTGTTTGACACTAAAAGACAAATATGTATGAAGAAACATAAAGTTACAAACAAATCCAATTAAAAGCATTTTTAAGAACTAAATAAAAAACATTCGGAATAAACAAATAGAAATACCACAAATACCAGAAATTGCGCTAACTTTCTATTTGATGCTAACCTGAGTTTTTCTGCTTTCGAAAGATTATCGACAGTAAATCGTTTAGAAACATTATCTGAAATAGAATAAACAATACCTCAATAAAATGCAAAACTAATGAAATTGCTCCTAAATAATTTTAATTGAATAAATAAAAAAAACTAATTTAAAACACTCAATCATGAAATAATGGAAAAAAAATATGTCTAGTTTTACCCTCAAAAGATATAAAATATCTTTGAGTTCAGATTTCTGGAAAGTTATTTTTTTACAAGTGTTATTTTGGCAATATATTTTTTTATAACATGAATTGCATGGTAAGCAAAGAATCTAAAATTGTTTTTATAAATAGTTCTCTTTAAGACTAATGATTACTTTGTTAGGTGTTTTTTCTTCCAATCCGAACTACTTATATTTCACTTAAACCCTTGACCATTTGAGCAAGTGACATCTTCTTACCAAAAGCCAATAATTTTTTAAATAAAAAGGCAGACATCAAGAAGCAATCATTCAGAAAACTATAAAAAATGAATAAGGTTATGTAAATTGTATGTTATGAATGTTGGACCATGATAATCCACAACCTATATAATCCAGTTATCCAAACCAATTTAATAGCATCAATGCATAACCAATGCATTAATTCTGCTAATTTAATTTGTATCTTCAGTGCATAGAGACCAGTATACAAAAGAAATTAACCTTTTATTTTTTAAAACTCCGCTTGTGATCTTTCTGTTTTTAAAAAAATCAGATGGTTTTTTACCATCCGATTTTGTTAAAAGTCATGAGACTTTTCAGAAATATGATTAATTTGAACATATGACAAATCACATA